AAATGCATTGAAGCAACTGCCATGTGATTGGTTGATTAGATAATTGCATTAATGAGAAATTGAACAGGTGTTCCTAATAATCCTTTAGGTGAGTTTATACATGAATGAATATACCCTATATCGTGGATATCCAAGATAAAAAGACAATGGTAGTGTGTTGGAACTTTTTGCAGTTTCAAGTCCGGCATGTTTATTAAACATAAGAATACACTGAATTTATGCAGATCACTAACTTTTAGGTGTCACAATACGCATCTCATTAATATTTTAGGCACACTACTAAACTGCTTACTAGTCTGTGGGCATATGTAAACGTCCGTATAGTACAGAAAAGCCAGCGTCCGTACAAATGTTTCACCCGTCACCTGAAGCCCTGGTGATGATTGCGCATGCACCATATAATCACGATTACATTGTGACGTGATCACAACAGCCCTAGTCCCAAACTTACTTATCATTGTGGTAGTAACTGCGGGCTACTGCGTAGATCAGGGCTGGTATCAGTGGGAATCCTGGGGGAGGAATTCAAATTTTTGTCAAACTGGTTTCAGTCTGAATCAAATCCTTTCAGCAGCAGCACGGCCTAAACATACCCCATCCCAGCAGATAGTACCACATCAGGTGCTGTTTCTCAGCAAACACCGCCACCACAATGAGAGTGTGCAAGTAGATCCCCTCACACAGCATCCAGAAGTAGTTACAGCCGAACAGGTAGAGATGGATCAGCATGGACAGCCTGCAGCTGGTCTGATGCGATAGAAAAGTAGACATGAGCCAGTTAAGGCCAGCTAGCAGTTGTCCCATCAATGCCGCTACATCACACCTAGATCGTACTTACTGGGTTTTGCTGCACCACCTCATTGTTCTTGGTGGAAGTCATTAACCAGATTGAGGCAATGGAATTCAATACGAAGGAGAAGAAGAGGTTCTTGTGCAGAGTAATCCTTTGGCAACTTAAACTCCTGCATAGAATAAACACGCAAGATTCAAGTGAAATCAACATTCAAAATGAAGTGTGCATGCTTTTTTTTGTACAGTCTACACAAACTTTTCAGCCATCATACAGTATAAACAAGATTCGCATTATGAAAATCTTTTCTGAATTAGTTATTTACTTACTTGAAGTGGAAAAAGATCCCAAGTGAAATAAACAAAGATATAAGTGACAATCCATCACCAATCAGGGCCAAGTATAACAAATTCATCGCAGTCTGCAAAACAAATAGTCTGGATCACACAGCATCCATTATAGCACTCACTTGTTTCATTTTTGTGTTACTCTTATGTTATCTTGTAACTGTGGTGGAGAGGTTGTTATTTAACGTACTATTCCTCCTTCAATGATAGTTTTTCTACAGCTGGTGTAGTTGGTCCAGGTTCTATTACTTTCAGGATGTATGAACCAATAGCCACTCTCTGTGCAAATCTTTGTCACCATTTCTGTAATGAAATACAAAGTATGCAATCAGTAAACAGGAACGCCCAGATATATTATGGTCAATTTTTCTTCTTTATGTTGTACTCCTATCATAAATCATCTAGTGTTGTAGGGTCATGTGATCTTTCCTACCTGCATTTTATATCCAAGGGGGCCCTGTCTGATTAACTTTCACACTCATTGAAATTGATAAAGTGGTTAAGAAAAGCAGATGTCATCACCTGTAAGGTCAAAGTTGTCAAAGTAGTCGGGGCAGAACTGATCAGAGGTGATGCCGGCTTCGGTGTCGTCCCAGCATAGCCAGCCATCCCAGGTGCGGTTACACATGGACCCTGTTTGGAGAGCAATGATATGGAGGCTGCTGTGCTCACCATCTCTGTCATCAAGTCACTCTGGCTCTCTGTTCTACCGTGCAATTAGTTTACTACTCACCTCCTCAGGTGAAGCAATAGTACCGGAGAGAGTATGCATTACATTTCTGAAACTCTACTCAGCTCAAGTCAAATGTACTTTTTTGGCATGGCTTACCAAAATCAGGACATTGAGGAACATTGTTCTTAAACAATGTGTTTCTCTGCACTTATCAGTGATCTTCCTAACTTGACACTGGATCCTTTAACAACCTCGAAGTAATGCTACTTTGCTCCTAATACACAAGGTCAGCCATTGTAGCAAGTGATTCTGAGGTTGTCTACTGTTGTATGGTGAAAAGGAACATTGGTCAACACCCACTTTGTTCACCTGACTGAGAATGAGTTCTACTTTCTGATGACAAGTCAGCAGGACTACCAAACTTAATATGATTCCTGAGCCTTTAAATGATGCTATGAAATTGCGACCTTCTCCACTTAAAATAAGTTGGTTAAAACTGCATTACCTTCTCGTGTTCGGTTGACATCCTTCATGATCCTCTGGTAGCACTCAAACTGAGCATTCATGATTCTGTATCTGGTGATTTCCTTGTACATGTGCTCCTGCGGGTTTTCTTCTGTTGTATTCGTGTTCTCCCATGAATTGGCTAAGACGGAAAGCTGTGAGGGGAGAAAGATAGGCCTGAAGGTTTTGATTTTACAAAACACAAAAAATACATATTTGTGGATAATTAAATATTGGTGGATCATAGCACATATTTGTAGATTGTCTTCTGTGGATTACAAATA